GGCGGGGGCGCGCGGGGCCGCGAGGTACAACCGGCCGGGCCGGGGCCGCGGGGCCGGCGCTGCCCGGGAGGCGGCGTGACGAGGTGGCGGCCCAGCCCGCGGCCGAAGAGGACGGAGCCCGCGGCCGCGCCGAGCGGGGTGAGTATGTCGGCAGCCCTGGGCCCGGAGGGCGGCGGGCGGCGGCCCCTCCCCAGGCCGGCGGCTAGCTCCGCAGTGCCGGGCACGGACCGGGGACCCCGAGCGGCCGGCCCACCCGGCCACCGAGCCGCCTGGGTTGGAGGGAAAAGCAGAGATCCGGGCCGGCCCCCGGGCGGAGAGAAAGGTGTGGCGTGCGGGGAGACCCCCCACCCCCAGCGGATGGTCAGAGCTGGCCTCCCCGGATTCGTGTCCCACATACTGATTTCTGAATCTCCGTGGGTAGGCTGGGTGGAGGATTCCCTCCCCCACCACCTCTTAAGTGACAAGTGTCACAGTGGTCAGGAGGCAGGCGTGTGTGCAGTGCTGGACCTGCCCAGGTGCGCCACTCTAGAGGAAAGGGTAAAGAAGGGGCTAGCAGGAATTGGAGGGCAGAGCCCTCCAGCCAGGCCAGCCTTCTGCAGCAGCCAGCCTCCGACTGGACACCCCTCCAGCCCTGGCCATGGCTGGGTGGATCGGGAGAGGAGCCCAAGTTTGGGGTGTGGCCGATCTTCGTCCTAAGTCTCTTCATCCTGTTGTAATGGGGGTGGTGGTGGTGCCAGCTCCATTTTAGAGCTGGGCAGCTCCCTTTTCCACCACCTCTCATCCTTTCTTACTGGTGGCTGGGCTGATGGGTGGGTGGCTTGGGGAGGGAGAACTTTAGTGCCCCCCCCCCCCCACAATGTGCAAGAATTTCCCTCAAGAAATTTCACATGGACCCTCCAGGTAAATACAGTTCAAGCTATGCAAATGTCATTTCAAGGCAAGTCCTTTAGCTCTGTCACCTTTCAACTGACTCTCTGCCCCTACATAGAAATCTAGAATCCTCATCTCAGGCTCCTCTTCCTAATCCTCATCTCAGACTCCACTTCCTAATCTGAAGTGTGGGCTGGGGCAGTTCCAGACACTCAGGCCTACCTACCTCCACCCCTTCAGAATCTGGTTTCTTCAAAGGAGACTTTATTTGAGCATCTTTCTTTGTCCACTGCCAGCTCTCTCCCCAGCCTCCATCTGAGTGTCACCAGAGCTGACAGGATAGACTGCTCCTCACTTCTGGGGGAAAATCTCCCCTACTGCCCAACTCCTGGACAGCGCTCTCTCTTTGCTCTGAACTCCCACTGCACTTTATCTATATCTCTTGTGTCTCTTATCACTGTCTGCCTTATTTTATAGTTACTTTTGTGTCTGGCTTATCTCCCTTTGGACGGTGAGCTCCTGGGGTGGAGTTGGATTCATCTCTCATTCCTACCCCTGGTCAGCACCCTGTGTGTTGTCAGCATCTGCATGGAGCGGAAGCCCCCTCTGAGGCTTGCTTCTGGGACTCTAGCTTATCTGATCCCCCGACTGTTGCTGTTAAATTATTTTTCTTCTGTTAGGAGGCTATATTCTGCAATTGAATAGACTTCCAGACCCCTCCCACTGCAGAGAGAAACACAGTGAGTTAGGAAGGGCTGTTTTTCTTGTAGGGTATGACTTGCCAAATGAACAGCACAGTACATCCTCTGCTAGGAAGATGGCCGGGCACAGACTCTAGGTTCTCTGCGTGGTGGGTGTTGAATGGACCATTCTCTTTTCTGGCCCTCACTGGCTGCTGGTGCTTGGGAGGAAGTTAGGGGAGAGAATTAGACTACAGTGTAAGGAGACCTCGGTTTCAGCCTGGCTTTCCCTATAAATTGTACAAGTGTCACTGAGTTGCTTGGTTTCTTATGGTCTTGGTTGCTCCTATGGAATCTGAAAGAAGATTCTTCTCTATAGACAAGGTCCTTTGGGATCTGGGCCCCTGCCAACCTTGCTGTTGCCTCTCCTGCCATTTCATCCCTTAATACTCGAATCTCTGGCCCTTGTAGGCTACATAGAGATGCCAAAGGCAAGGCACCCCCGTGACCTTCCTCACACCAAGTGCCTTACCAACTCTTCACTGCTAGAGAGCTAGACTTGGCTTCACTGGCCTTCTAAGGGGGACTTGGTCCCCTTAACATTTGTGCCACTCCAATCTTACTTGTCTGCTTCACTGAATGGCCCTTACCAGTTTACATGATCCTCCCTACTGGATGTGACCCTCTGGATGGTCTATAGGGTATCATATGTCTCTGTATCCTTAGTGCCTTACCCATAGTAGGCACTCAGGTAAACATCTTGATAGTGACAGAGGTTAGCCTAGTTGGTCACCACTGAGAGCCCTTCTTGTCCAAAATTATTGATTGCTTGTATAGTCTCTCTTAGGGAACTCATTGCCCTCCTCCATGTCTATAGGCCTGTTTTTCTTTTTTTCCTTTTCTTTTTATTCTTTTCTTATTTTCTTTCTTTCTTTTTTTTTTTTTTTTTTTTGAGACAGAATCTCAAGCTTTGGGTAGAGTGCTGTGACGTCATAGCTCACAGCAACCTCCACTCTTGGGCTCAAGCAATCCTTTTGCCTCAGTTTTTCTATTTTTAGTACAGACGGGGGTCTTGCTTTTGCTTAGGCTGATCTTGAACTTGTGAGCTTAAGCAATCTACCCGCTTCAGTCTCCCAGGTGCTAGGATTATAGGCGTGAGTCACCTTGCCCAGCCTTCTTTATTATTATTATTTTTTTCATTTAGGAAGGAGAGAGGAGGAGGGGAAGAGGGAGAGAGTTAGAGGCCTGTTTTAAAACCAAGCAGATAGCTATTCTCCTAATTAGCCCATCCGGTTAAGTTTTTCCAACTTGGTCTTTGAGATGAGCCAGTCATGGAGGATGTGCAGTTGTTTGTAGATATTAGAAGAGGAAATGTCTGGTGCTTCAAGATCACTGCCCGGCTGTTTTTGGAAAAGATACTGGGGGCTGTGTGCTCATTAATGGAAGAGGAGTGATATGGAAGGGTAGTGATATCACTCCAGTGTCTTTAGCCACTGGGTTTGAGTACCAGGGCAACAAGAATGAGACTCTTGTCTACAAACAAAAAAGCAAGTAAGCTGTCTTATATGCCACTTCTCAGCTTCGCCCAGGTGAGGTCCATCTCTTTGCAGACAGCTACCCTGACGTATCCTGAAATCTGCTTCACAGAACCCCCCTGCCTCTTGTCTTTGCACAGCTTCTCTGTAGGTAATTTGGTGAATGTTCATTAAGCTTTTACTGGGTAGCTATCCTGGAATGTTATTAAGTAGAGCCACAGCAAATCCTGGTCTGGTTTCCTCTAA